AGAATTTGAGTAATTTACTAACATATATTTATTTCCAAATATTTATTATAAGAAGCTAAATGCAGTTGTTCAAGTTAGGTAATTATTAAAACTACAGTCACTATAAGAAATTAGATAAATAGATTTTTAACAATGGAGCTATTGTAATCTTATGTGCAAACCTAAACCAACCTAGGTGATCAGAGAATATTTTCAGATGATATCACAGAAATCCAATTAAATTAATTTAAAACAGTGAATTATTTCAGAAAGTTGACTAGACTTGCAATCAGTGCTAAAACTTTTCTAACACCTAATTAACTAAAAAAAGTGGCACACAAAGTTATGTTTCCAACTCATTTAAGAGAAGTCTCTACAGGCATTTTCAATTAGCTACATTTTCTTTGCATTTACTCAACTTTTCAGAGTTAGATAATGCTTTGAAAATAATGTTAAATGGTTATGACTTTGGTGAAATTTCTTTTTTTGTTAATAAGGGATTTCCATATCTTGACAAAGTCATCTTTTTAATAGAAAGTGGTTGCTAAGGATAATCAATAAGCATGTTAAATAACAATCAAACGACTATTGTTTGCAAATAGAGTAAAATTATATTAGAAAGAGAGAGTTAAAAGTAACTTTTCTGAGTGGGAAAGATTTTCCTTGTAATTGTGATAAATTTAGACAAAGCATTTATATGCTTTCCAGAAACAGTGGATTCTAGAGGAAATTCAGAAATTAAGTGAATGGAGATAAAGAGGGAGATGTAGATCTTCATTATTACCCTACTCTTTTGCCTCTGAAGGAAACCGAAAAAAAAAAAAAAACCAAGCCAAACAAAGAAACAAAGACACTCCTGCATCAATGGGAAGAAAAAAAATCAAGAAGGCTTTTTTTTCCCTTGGGTCAAGATTACCAAAGAATTCCCAAGAGAATGATCAACAGTAAGCCAACAACCATACAGACACCTACTGCAACCTTGGTTGGCCCCTCACAAGGACTGGAATTCTTCCTCATTTTTTAAGATGTTGCTAATAAGCTCCTCTACTCATTTTCTTTGGTGCCTATTTGAAACTTTCACCACTCTCTTCAGCCTATCCTCCACATTCCCTTCTCTTTGCACATTATTCTCCTTTAAGGATAAAGAAACCATCTAGGTTAGGATCCAAAATATATAAAGAACTCATACTATTCCATAGAAAAAAAAATTTTTAAAATGGGCAGAGGAACTGAATAGACATTTTTCCAAAGAAGACATACAAATGGTCAACAGGTACATGAAAAGGTGCTCACCATCACTAATCATCAGGGAAATGCAAATTAAAACCACAATGAGATATCACCTCACACCTGTTAAAATGGCTATCATCAAAAAGATAAGAGATAAGTTGCTGGCAAAGATGTGAAGGAAAGGAAATCCTTGTGCATTGTTGGTGGGAATGTAAATTGGTGAAACGACTATGGAAAACAGAATGGAGGTTCTTCAAAAAATTAAAAATAGAACTACCATATGATCCAGCAATTGCACTTCTGAGTATATATGTGAAGGAAATGAAATCACTATCTCAAAGCAATGTCTGCACTCCCATGTTCATTGTAGCCAAGATACAATAGCCAAGATATGGAAAAAAATCTAAGTGTCCATTGACAGATGCATGGATAAGGAAAATGTGGTATACACACACACACACACACACACACACACACACACACACACACAATGGAATATTATTCAGCCATTAAAAAGAAGGAAATCTTGCCATTGTGAAACATGGATGGACTCTGAGGGCATTATGCTAAGTGAAATTAATCAGATGGAGAAAGATAATTACTGTATGATATCACTTACATGTGGAATTTAAAAAAGCCAAACTCACAGAAATGGAAAACAGATTGGTGGTTGTCAGAGTTGGGAAGTAGTGGGTGGTGGAAATGGGTGAACGTGGTCTAAAGGTACAAACTTCCAGTTATGAGATAAATAAGCTCTGGGGATCTAATATACAGCATGGTGACTACAGTCAACAGTATTATACTGTATATTTAAAGTTGCTAAGAGAATGGATCTTAAAAGTTCTCATCACAAGAAAAAAAAAGTTGTAACTATGTGAGGTAATGGATGTTAATTAAATCCATAGTGGCAATTATTTCCCAATATATACATATATCAAATCATTATGTTGTACACCTTAAACTAATGCAATGTTATATGTCACTTATATCTCAATAAAACTGGAAAAATATTTAAAGAATCAAACTGACAAAAAGCCATCCAGCGCCCCCCCCCCACACAAAAGTAAAGTCCATCTTTACATCTTCTCTGCAGTCTCAGCAGAAGAATGTACTTCTGCCTAGGACTTGTCCCCCTCCGTGCACTAGAATTGATTCTCTTCTCTCTTTGGTCATCTCCTCTCTGCCTCTCCAATGGCTTTTGGAGTATAAACATACTCAATTTTCACCATCTTTAAAACAAAACAAGTAAATAACTCATAATAACCACATACACACACACACACACTCTCTCTCATCTCTCCCTTTCTCTCTCTCCCTCCCCATATGTCAGCTAATGTGTTCCTGTCTAAAAGGGCATCTCATCCTCTTTCTTGAATGGTTAACTTCTATTCACATTTAAATCTAAGAGCTATTTCTGGAAATCCCACCATGACCACCAGACTCCTGCTTTATCCCGTGTACAACCCTAAGTTGCACTGTAATTGCCGTTTGTCTCTCTAGAGCCCTGAAGAGGCTGTGGAGTTCTTGAAGCCCTGGGTGGTTCACCTCTGTGCCCAGCATGCAGCACAGTGAGCCAGGCAGAACATGTGCTCAGCGACACCCACTGAACAGGACGGTCCACCGAAACCTCCTCAACTCACCATACGGGTCCCACACTAGTCCTTCTTTTCCTATCATAAGAAGGTTCTGTAAATAAAATTTTGAGTTATCTTCTCCCATCCGTCTCTCTCCAACTTTTGCCACTGCATTTTCTAACTATTTGTTAACATAGGATCTCAGACCTAAGGATCTAGTGTTACTTACCTTCCCATTTGGAGCACCTACAATATAGAATGTCTCAAAAATTATCTAAAGAAAAGGAAATAAGGAGGGAAGGAAGGAGAGGGACATTTTTGAGCAGCAGGAAGAAAGCAAGGTGTGGGGGAGGGTTTGCATAACACAGTGAGGTGAAAATTATGAAAAAAAAAGATACCCAATTCCAAATTCTTACATGATTTAATACAAAAATGGTAATTATTTGTCAAAAGGTTAACACTATGTTTAATTAAATGAAATACAAGTTCTTTTCTATATCTACGCAAACTCTATAAAATTCGCAACACGCATTGTATGATAGATCCACTTTCTCCATTTATCTCAAGGGATAGTATTGATCCCTATAATAAATTACATAATTTACATATCTTAAAAAAGAAAACATATGGCAATAATACTAAATTAACACAATGCGTTTGCCTAGGCCTTTTCAGGTAATGGTGCATTATTGCACAGGTAAATCATTTATCTCATGACCACCCTAAGAGCAAAGCAGAACAGGCCCTGTTATTTTCTCTTTACAGTTGAGAAAATTGAACTTCAGAGAGGTTAAGAGGTGTGCATGCCTTGGAGCTATGAATAAATTGAAGAAGAAGGTAAAGGTAAAAGGGAGAAATATTAGATTTGCTCTTTTGAAAATGCTTCAGCGGGAGAAATGCAATCTTAATCAGCAACAACAAATACTTATTCAGCATTTACCTCTTGGAATCCAGCTCTGTCTTTCCTGTGATAGAAATTTTATCAAAAGAAAGAGCTGGCCTCACTTCACAGCCCTTCAGACAGCAATTTTTTTGAGATACCTGGGCCTTTCAAATAATTTACTCCTGGAACACTTTTAAATTCTACAGTGGCAGGAAACAGAATCGTTAACTGTTTAACATCTAATACAGCTAGCATGCTATTTTCTTGGTTAAATATATGATACAGTAAAGAGCTGCCTTCTGTGTGTGTGTGATGTGCATATACTTTGGAGTGTTCTTGGATAATTAATATATATTGATTCAGGAATAACACACCACTCTCCCCTCATCCAGGACCTTCATGTGTCGCTCGTCTTACTCTGCCCAACTAGAGTTCCTGTCACCATGTTGGCTTCTTTTGTTGATTTGCCTTTACTAGCTATTTTTTTCAGATGCTTTTATGTGGCCATCCCTCTGCCAATTTTAGAGCACCTGGAGCAACATCTTTTTAATACTAGAATCATGAACAAGAGGAATTTAAGAGATCTCTGTGTCCACTGCCATTTAAATGCTAACACTTTTTATTATTATTTTTTTTGTGAGGAAGATGAGCCCTGTGCTAACATCTGCCAATCTTTTTTTTTCGCTGAAGAAGACTGGCCCTGGGCTAACATCCGTGCCCATCTGCCTCCACTTTATATGGGATGCCGCCACAGCATGGCTTGCCAAGCAGTGCGTCGGTGAGTGCCTGGGATCCGAACCTGCGAACCCCGGGCCGCGACAGCGGAGCGCGCGCACTTAACCACTTGCGCCACCAGGCCGGCCCCCTGCTAACACTTTTTAAAGTATGTGCAGAACTAAAGCACTGAATTGCAACAATGAAAATACTTCCTGCATCCAAGTAGTGAATTATGGATGATTTTTGACTCTTTTTCTAAAAAATAATTTTAATGGTTTATATTACCTTGGCAGTAAATGAGGAAAAGTATTATCGAGTCTTGTAATTGTGGCATCTTTGCTTTGATGACATATTCTTCATTGTATATACATATAGTAAATATATTTTTGCAAATATATCAATAGCAAATAAATTTTTATGTCAAATAAATGTGATCAGGAATAAAATTTCCATTTATAATTTTCACCTAAGGAAAAATGTGACCTATTTATCCACAATTTGTGTTATGACTGCTTTCCAACTTGTTTTGATGAAAAGCAGAGATTTCTTATCATTCTTGCTTTACTTCTCAGGACTAAACATCAGGAGGCAAGCGATGCGCAAAAAAAAAGACTTACCCACTCTTCCTCATCGTAGTCTGAATGATGTGGTATGGAATCTTGCCTTCTCATTGGTGGGGGTGGGTCCTGAGGACTGCTCTCCTCTGTGCTGTTCTTAGGAGAGGGTTGTTTCTTAAGGATGCATCCTGGCCTGGCAGTGTAAAGTGCTAAAAGAGCACTTCTGACCAGCTGATCCTTGAAGGCATGGACAAAAAGCTCTGTCTGGAAAGAAATTGACAAGAATTAGAAACAGCATGGTAGGCATCTCAGCCTATGCTATGAAAAGGTCAATTGTGGATTTGTTGGCACTCAAGTGGTGTGGATGGTGGAAAAAAATCAGGCAACAGAGAGAAAATGATTCACACCAATCAATGGAAAAGAGTTTGGTTTTGGGTTGCTGCCAAGGTCTTGAGTGCTCCTGTTGTAAAAGTTAATACTGAGGTTCTATATGCACTATAAACACCATCTGTCTCCTCAGCCCCTTATCTTTTAGTTCCAAATCCTGTCTTTGGAGGCGAATTTCACTGGGGATAATCATTTGAGCACCATCTACCTGCTGCATCTTTCAAGCAATTTCAAATATACCTTAAAAGAAAATGTGATCAGACTATGTATATTTTGTATTTTAAACAGAGTTAAAGGCTCAAGAAAAGACATCTCCCTTAAAAAACTAGAGGCAGGAGATCTTTTTTCTTTTTAGCATTACAGACAGATTTCAACAGTAGAGATGACATACGCAGTCTTCCCCATGAAAACATTTGGCTTTTATTCCTTATTATTAACCGTAACTGTCTCTCCACCAAATGGTTCAGTAATGCTTGATGTTAACGAGGTTACTGCGAAACTTGCCATGGTAGATTTTACAAGCTGGTAGTAAATACCTAGTAAGTACTACAGTAATGACAGCTTCCTAACAATAAAGAACTTTACAGCTGTACTTTGCAATTTCCTGACGAAATGTTTAATAGCTTCCCCCTGTAATATACTGGAGGGTGCAGTAATTGATTGTCTGTATTACAGTACACTTAACATACACGTGGCCTAACAATCTGTTCAGTCAAAAAATAGAGAAGTAACTCAAGCACTGACCCATATTGCTAACATACTCATACTTTGTAATCTGTTAGTAAGGGGCCCTTTAATTCATAGCATTATTTTGAATAATAGTTGATATAATCACCATTTAATGAGACACTCTTGGATATAATGCTGACTTCACCATAGCTGTCCCTCAAGGTAGTCATTTATTGGTGTACTCTCAATATGCAGTCAATGGTGCCATGCCTAACTAGTGGTTACTAAATTGTCGCTAACTCTCCCTGTTGTATCACACAATTAAAGAAAACCAGTTAAACCACATGCAAAACAAGTGCCTAATAAGATGATATCATAGCTACATAGTTAATTGTTTGCAATAGATCATGAAATTCTAGAACTGGAAGGACCTTAAAGTAGACCTCTTCATTAACCAGATAAAAACTAACAAAGAAGTGTGGTGACCTGTCCTAGGGCAGACTGCTTACTGGCAGCACAAATGGAACAGATCTCAAGTTTTCTAACAAATTCAGCAACTCTGCCCCTTACTGCACAACACCTACCAGCCACTATCAACCTAGATGCTTCTGTCCTTCTTCCCCTTCTTCCCTAACCCCAAGCTCCCCAAGTGTTTTGAATAGCAACCAGCCCTCATAATTAATTGTGTCAACAACTGCCAATATGACTATCTTTTTTTTTTTTTTTTTAAAGATTTATTTATTTTATTTTTTCCCCCCAAAGCCCCAGTGGATAGTTGTGTGTCGTAGCTGCACATCCTTCTAGTTGCTGCATGTGGGACTCGGCCTCAGGATGAACGGAGAAGTGGTGCCTCGATGCGCACCCGGGATCCAAACCCGGGCCGCCAGCATCGCAGCGCGCGCACTTAACCACCAAGCCACAGGGCCGGCCCGCCAATATGACTATCTTTAATGCTAAACTTTATTAGATGTTTTAAACTCTTTAAATCTATTAGTTATATTGAAGGCACTTTGAAAGTAAGTAGACAAGAAATACAGGAAAAAAGAATATATAAGAATAAAAGCTTGGAAAATATTTTGATAATAAATTAGAAAATCAAAATAAAAAGGTAGCTTTTCTATTTTAAAAGAAATTGATGAAAAAGTTGGTTAGACAGTACTCAGACAAGTCAGTGTAGTTAAAGCAAAATGGAGAAATGTATTGTTTACATAATTTTCCATATAACATGGATGTGTCCATGGATGTGAATTTAAATATTAAAAATGTGAATTTACTTCCATTCAGCTTAACTAAACAATTTCCCTGTTGATAGTTCTAATAAATTCTTTTGATTTATTTTTAGAGCAAAACAGCTTGCCTTCTTTGAATTCCTGTTACTACAGCACCAGTCTCCATCACACTCACATAATTACTATGTAGCTGAATATCTATTCACACCCAATGAAATCTTCTACAGTTCTTATAATCACCCTCATTTTCTTCCCACAGCATGTACACACAGAGATTTCACTTCATTTATTCAGGTCTCATTTGGGTCGATTTATCACCGAAGACATGGGAAATAATACAGTAGATTCTTGCAGTTGTACAACCCAGAATTTTTGAGGGGTAGCTGAAAATAATGCAAAAAATCTTAAACAAACACAATAATAGCTGATATTTCACTTTATGTCTATACTGAAAAAATGTATTTGGCTCCTTGGAAACTCTCTGGATTACCAAGATCCTGTGCATGGAATCACATTTTGCTAGAAAATAGCAGAGGCCAGCCCGGTGGCATAGTGTTTAAGTGTGCGTGCTCCGCTTCGGCAGCCCAGGGCTTGTAGGTTCGGATCCGGGGTGTGCACGGACACACTGCTTGTCAAGCCATGCTGTGGCGACATCACATATAAAGTAGAAGAGGATGGGCATGGATGTTAGCCCAGGGCCAATCTTCCTCAGCAAAAAGAGGAGGATTGGCATTGGATGATAGCTCAGGGCTAATATTCCTCACAAAAAAATAAAAAAAGAAAATAGCAAAATATTCCACTGTAATATCCATGTGACCTGGAAAAATCTTAATTTTCTTGACCAGCATTACTTAGTAAATATAGACCAATGTAGACTGTGATGTTTTACAGTCAAAATAAATCAGCTTAAAGAGATTAATGTGGTCACAACCCCAACACATCTATACGTTACTGTTCTTGCAACTGAGATGATAATAGGAAAGTTAAAAGTCATGGGAAGGATGTGACCATGTTTCTGAGTCGCCTATTCACTTAGAGTCCTGGAAACTTTTTTCCTTTTCTGGTTCAGCTCACACTACATTAAATGAAAGAAGAAAGGCTGTCTAAATGTTATCGTGAGAGTAGGCCAAAAATTTATTTAAAATATTAGTTTAATAACATATTAAAGAGGCATAAACTCTGAACCTAAGGCAGTTCTATTTTATTTGTTTGATATTAAAAAAAGAGAGAGAAATGTTATTTTAAAAATGAAATGTTTTCTTGCCTTATTGACATTTTCCCAATTCATATTCCCATACAAGTATTCTTCAAAGTCACACAGAATTATCTGCAAGCATAAAACTACTAAAAATTACTTCTCCTGGGGATGAATTTCTTAGCTTCCTGAATATTAATGGCAGAGGAATAGTTAGGATATGTTTGTTTAAAACCACTCTTTTTAACTAGAGATGTCTATAAATTAAGCAAAGTCTCTGGGGCCGGCCTGGTGGTGTAGTGGTTAAGAGCGCGTGCTCCGCTTTGGTGGCCTGGGGTTCTCAGGTTCGGGTCCGAGGCACACACCGATGCACCGCTTGTCAAGCCATGCTGTGGTGGCGTGCCGTATAAAATAGAAGAAGGTGGACACAGATGTCAGCCCAGGGCCAATCTTCCTCGGCAAAAAGAGGAGGATTGGCATCGGATGTTAGCTCAGGGCTGATCTTCCTCACACACACACACACAAAAATTAAGCAAAGTCTCATATTATTTAGAATCTCCTTATTGTCATTGAAAAAACTCAAGGCCATGCCTAATCCCAACCGCAATACAGAAGGCAAGGGCATAAACAAGTGATTATCATTTTAGCAGTCATGTATATGGCAAGAAAGAATCCTGTTAATTTTGAAATTTGACATGCTTTAATTATTTCATTGGGTAATGGTGCTAACTCTGACATCAGTGCATTGATATGTGTTTAACATTCCCTAAAGGAAAGAACATCCAACTTTCAGCCAGGAGAGTCACTTGACATCTGGGCAGCTTATCCAAATTATCCACTTGACCTTGGCTAAAACACAGAACCACTTTTCCCCAATGTGTACAAAATTACAAAGCCTACCTGTGAAACCCTCATGGGAATTCATTGTAAATTGTAAAGTAAACTCTTTACACTTTTCTTTTTCGACTGTCTTTTTCAGTTTCCTTTGTTAATTCATAGTCCCCTACTCATCCAAATGTGGTAAGTGGACCCTAAGATACCTTAAACCACTTACTTTTTTTTTGGTGAGGAAGGTTGGCCCTCAGCTAACATTTGTTGCCAATCCTCCTCTTTTTGCTTGAGGAAGATTGTCACTGAGCTAACATCTGTGCCAATCTTCCTCTACTTTATATATGGGACGCCTGCCACAGCATGGCTTGATGAGTGGCACATAGATCTGCGCCCGGGATCCGAACCCATGAACCCCAGGCCGCCGAAGTGGAGCGTGCTGAACTCAACCACTGTGCCACGGGCCAGCCCCTGATTTATTTTTTTTAAGCTAACATTTCTTCTTTTTCAGGATGTTATCCAAGGCTACCAATATTAAAATGTAGACTTCTGAGTCCTAACCGAGAGCTACTGAATCAGAATTTGTAATTTTAGCAAGCTCCCCCAGGATCATTTACTGACATTTTGTGATGCTTAATAATTGAAATCCTCTGTCCTAGCTCAGCCTATCAATTGCTATGAGCATGATCTACACAAAGCATGCCTCCTCAACAACCTTCTCAGTACCTACAGAATAGAATTTCTCTTGGATAAATAACTAGGAGATGGATAGATCATATATATACTTATTAACTTTATGAGATATTGCTGAACTGTCTTCCAAAGTGTCCAAATAATTGTCTATCCATCAGTGATCTATGAAAATTGTGACTGTTTCATATCCTCCCCAAATCTTTGTATGTTCAGCCCTTTTGATAGCTGTTCTAGTGGGTGGTTAGTGGTCTCTCGTTTTAGTT